GGGTCTAGGGTTATAGAGTTTAGGGTATTTAGGGTTTAAGGTTTAGGGCTAGCCGAGATGTATGCGATTGCAGGGTCTCAAAATGCAACTCACAGCACCAGAGACGCAGTCCGCCGATCACCAAATCCAGAAAGCCCCATAAACCCCATCAACCCATGGACCCTACACCTCGAAACCCAGGAACCCTAACTTTTAGGGTTTTAGGGTTATAGGATTCAGGGTTTTAGGGTTTAGGGTTTTAGGGTTTTCGGGTTTAGGGGTTTATGGTTTTAGGGTTATGGGGTTATAGGGCTTTAGGGTTTTAGGGTTGAGAACCTTAAGCCGATGTCCTTCAAAACCGCCCTGATGCCCGGGCGCAGGTCTGTCCAACCCATCTCGGCCGCGGTGAGCAGAAGCGTGGCGCCCAGGTCATCCTTCTCGAATATACTATAATATAATATAATATACTATAATATACTATGATATAAAAGAATAGAATAGAATAGACTAACATAGAATAATTATAATACAATATAAACCAATAGAATATAGTATAATGTAATATAATGTAATATAATGTAATATAATGTAATATAATGTAATATAATGTAATATAATGTAACATAACAGGTCATCCTTCTGCAGAGGAACGAGGATTCTACGGCTTTCCAGCTGCGAGCATGGAAAAAATTCGGAGCACGCTCAAATAATCCAATATCAAAGTCATATACATTATGTATGTATTATATACATATAAACATATTATACACATGTATATATGTAGACCATATGGTACAGGGCCTAGAACAAGGAGGCATGGCCCTAAACCCTAAACCCTAAACCCTCTAAACCCGAAACCCTAAACCTCCTAAAAACTAAATCCTAAACCCTAAACCCTATTGAACAGATCCAAGAGTCGGTGAAGAGCGGCGATGTCAAGTCCACTCCCAGCGTGACCAGGCCTGGCGCAGTCGGGAGGCTCCTCCTAGACTGAGGTTTGGGGTTTAGGGCTTCGGGTTTCGGGTTTAGGGTTATAACCTTAGGGTTTAGGGTTTAGGGTTTCGGGTTTAGGGTTATAGGGTGTTAGGGTGTTAGGGTTTCGGGTT